GGCTGCCCGTGCTGCCGCCGCTGCCGCCGCTGCCGCCGTCGCCCCCCTGGACAATCCCCTGATGCAGCCGTCGCCGCACGCTACCGCCGCCGCCGAGGCGGCGCCCGCCATGGCCGCCACCATGGCCGCCACGTCGCCTCATCCGCCGCCCGCCGCGCACCAGCCTGGCGAGGTGGCCCTCTCACCCAACATGTTTGGGCCCTTCTTCCACCGTTACTGGATCTCGCTCATCGGCCGGCCGGTGACCGTGTACCTGACCGTGGCGCATGATGGCTTCACCGATAGTGTTCGGGGTGTCCTCTCCCCGAGTGACATGTCCCTCCCGTCGCTTGCCGAGCCGGAGTCCAGTACCATCCGCCTGGAGCTGGCCATTGACGAGGCCCAGGCCACCCTCCGGCCGTCGGTTGTCATTCCCCTGTCCAAGGTGGCGGCTGTGCGTCTTTCTTCTTTCTTTCTTTCTTTTTCCTCCTCCCTCCTTGCCTGCCTGTTGCAGGTCATTTTGGCCACCTAGCTGGCAGTCCAGCGCCCGAGATCTCTCTCCCCCCCCCCCCCACTTTGCCTACTCCCACTCACCCCTCCTGCTGCCCCGTGCATGTGGTAGATTTCCTCGACCGGGGTGGATCTCGCGCCCGAGAGCCGTCTCACCCGGGATATCTATCCCTCGGTGGCTGGGCTGACGCCGGCTCTTCTCTCGAACTTCTCGTCCCTCTCTTTCGATACATTCCTCGTGGACTCGGAAATTGGCTCCGGCGGGACCGCGGCCACCGAGCAGGTTATGGTTCCCTGGGAGTTGGATGCCTCGGACCCGGTGATTTCCAGCGACATGATGGAGGCCCTGCACTCGCAGCCCACGGAGAAGTTCGACCAGTTCGAGGTGAACCGCACGCGCTTCGGCAAGGTGGTGACCTTCGACGAGTCGGTGCGTGGCTTTGTGGCCCTGTTTCGGGTGTTTTTTTTTGTTTTTTGCTTGGACTCCCTCCTGACGTTACCCGCAGAAGACGCACCGGCTAACTCCGTGCTAGCATTTTCGGTATTTCGGAGGGTGCTTGCGTTTATCGTATTTACTGTTCGTTTATCGCACTCTGGGGGTTTGTTTTGTCGGCTGTGTTCTGCGGTTTTTTTTTTTTTTTTGCTTTGCCCCCCCCCCCCCCCCCCCCCCCCCCTCCCTCTCTGCCGCTGGGGCACTGACACCCCTTGCTCTTTGTCCTTCCCTTGAACCGGCCCGGGTGCGACTGATCGT